TAGGGTTTCTCCCCAGTGTGAATTCTTTCATGTCTTTGACAGTGACTGTGTCTGCTGAATGCTTTCCCACATTGCTTACATGCATAGGGTTTCTCTCCAGTGTGAATTCTTTCATGTATTTGACAGTGACTGTGTGTGCGGAATGCTTTCCCACATTGCTTACATACATAGGTTTTCTCCTCCATGTGAAATTTTTCATGAATTTTACAACAACTTTGAGTACTGAAGGCTTTCCCACACTGCTTGCATACATAAGGTTTCTTCTCAGCGTGAATTCTTTCAGGGAGTTGAGCATCATTCATGGTGCTGGAGGCTTTCACACTTCTCTTTCCTACAAAGGTCTTCTCTTCAGGGTGAGTTATTTCAGTAAGTTCAGAGTAGGTTTTCCTACTTTGGTCATATTGATAGGGTTTCTCTCCAATCTTTGTCCTTCCATGCTTCTCAAAGAATTGGAAATCACTGTAGATTTGTCCATGTTCATTACATTTACTTAGCTTGGTATCAAATCCCAAATATTCATGTAGCTTGAGTCCAGTGTGAGGTAAAGTGGGCACATTTACTGATAAATGCCCAATTAGGGACTTTCTACAAGCAAAACTTTCAGCTGGCATTAAAGCAGCTTGTTCCATGACCACACTAGCATCTGGAGTCCAATGCAGTAGTTTTTCATGTTGATTCCAAGCTTTATATTGAAAGCATTTTGCTATCTCTTCATTTCTGTAAAGAAAAAAGGAACAAAAATATCAATTACAATAGAAAGTTCTCCATATCAATAATTTACCATGATGAGTTCTGTCTTGTTGCCTGCTAAGAAATTTTGAGAATGAATATGCTGAATGGCCTTGAGGAGGCCTCCAAAACAGCCATTCCCTAAAGGATGGTATTCATTTGGGAATTTTGAAATAATAAATGTTTACAATACATAAGGTCATTTAGGTCATTGATACATATGTGTATCACATATTGATCATTTTTGACACCTCCACCACCACTCTCCCCTTCTCTCCTTACCCGGGTCCATCTTTCCCATCTCCAACAATTCAGCTTTTATGTACTCTATCACATCTCCTTAATTTTACTCCCTAATTTAAATTTTGGTATCTCATTTAATTAATTTATTTACTTTTTGGTACCAGGGATCAAACTCGGGTCCTTGCACTTGAACAGCAGGCAGCGAAACCACTGAGCTAAATCCCTAGGCCCTGGTATCTCATTTAAAAGAAAACATGAGGTAATTCATTTTCTGTGACTGAATTTTTCATTTAACATGGGATGGAGTCCCATCTATTTTTTTTTTTTTTTTTGCCGAAGATATGATGTTATTCTTCTTTACAGCTGAATATACAGCACTACAGCACTTTTTTTTAGTATTGAGAATTAAACAAGGGTCTTAGCACTAAATTACAGTTCTTGTGCTTTTTATTTCTTATTTTGAGAGTTTCCCATTGATCATTTTCTCAGGGTAAACTTCATATTGTCATCCTACTGGCTCAGCTTACTAGAGTGCTGGGATTATAAGAAGGCACCACCATGTTGAGCCTATGCCACATTCTCTTTATCCATGTATACAATGATGGGTATTGAGGCTGTTACCGGAGCTTAAGTATTAGGAATTATTTTTGGAACTTAGCTATTGTGATTACCCATGCATACCATGCTTTGAACATGGGTCTGCAAGTATCCGTAAAATATGATAATTTTAAATTCTTTCAGAATATACATAGGGAGGTTTGCCTGGATCAAATGCAAACTACTATTTTTATTTTTGGGGGGACATCTGTATATCAATTATCAAAATGGTTCTACTTTGTATTCCTACCAACAACATATGAGGGTACCTTTCAAGAATTTTAAAACATGAATGCACCCAATTCTCTGGAGGATGTTTTGAAAACATCTATTATTGCACTAGCATTTATCTGTACTCTGAATATTGCTTCTAGGTTAGCAACTTTTTAGATAATGTATGTCTTATGTTCATGGACTTGAAGATGAGTTCCTGTCAAAGTTCAAAATTTATTATTTTCATATATGCCTATACACAATACCTGAATGCAATTTCATACATTTTCATGATGTTGATCATGAAAGAATTTTTTATACCAATGTATGAGATAGTATCTCTTGTTGCATAATGTGTCACTACTTAGTTTCTTATATTGAAATATTTCTTCATTCAGTTGTCAGATTATACAAAATCAACCTGTATGTATATCTGGAGAATTTTTGTGACATTAAATAAGTTTGAATATGACCTCATTTGTAGAGTTTCCTTAGTTTTAATATTTCTGGTCACACAGCAACTCTTGGGGAATATTCCTTTTCCTTATGAATGCAAATTACCTTAGATTTCTTGAGCAATTTTTGTATTCTCCTTCAATTTGCTGGTTGTCCCAGGTCCTTCCTGAATTATAGCCATAGAAATACAAAAGGTTACTATATCATTATATAAAAATTACCAGACAGCAGTTAGATTCATGGTATAATGTAAACAGGCCTGAGATATCTTCAAAATGTTTTTCACATTCTATCTAATGAATCTGTACCAATGAGCAAGAATCAATCCTCTCTCATTGTACAAATGAGAAAATGATGTCAACCTTACCTATAGCAGTCATATTCATAAGCGTTTCCCACATCACATCTCTGTAGAGCTTCTTTTGGGATGGATTCAGCAAAGCCCACTCCTCTGTGGTGAAGCTTAAACTTACATCCTCCAAAGTCACTGCCTCCTAAAAAAAAAATCACATATATACTCCCTGAAAGAAGGTTCAGACTCACATCCTGAGATATCTGAACTTCTCTTGTAAAAGCAGAAGTGAGGTTAACTCCTTCAAATATTAACTCCATGTCTTGGTCACCAAACCCATCTGTATGCACATATTTTTACATAGCAATTCTCATACTACATTGTAACTCACTGCTAAAGCAAAAGCAGAATAGTAGTACTAGTTGCCTGGAAGGGTCACAGAAACTATATTTGTGCATTGTTTCTAAAGCAGAGCTCATAGAAGGAGCCTGCAAATCACCATCTATACAACGCAGGGGCAGATAAATATCTAATGAATGATTCTGACAGACACAGATTATACCTCTTTTCAAATCTGATTACTCATAGAATTAAGTCATTCTTTGATTGTATTTAGGCAGCATTTTAAAATTTGAACCTTGTTTCATAGGGGAAAAAAAGAATAAAAGAAAAAAGTGGAAACAGTTTTTGTAAATAAAGAGAAAAGCTGAAGGAAGGGGAGGGGAATGAAAAAAAAGAAGCAAGATATACCATGTACAAGTACAAATTCCCTAAGATGAATATTATCCCTATGTATTTCTAAAATGTACCAGTTTAAAAAAAGAAAATAAATAAGGTTTACAAATAATAACTTAAATGTTAATGGGAAAACAGTATTATTGGACCAAGTCTATGAAGAATGAAAATCAGGGAAGTGTGTCATATTGTCTTATAGCTCAGTGACACCAAATGATCACCTTGCACTCAGATGCAAGAAATTTTAGGATTGTCTAAGGGAGATTAATGAGGAGAAGAATATGAATAAAATATATTAAACGCACTAAAATTAAGATATCACAAAGTAATTAGGCACTAATTAGAAAAGGAAAATTTCAGCCAGGTGTGGTGATATATGCCTGTAATCCTAGCACTGGGGAGGCTGATGTAGGAGGATGGCCATGAGTTTGAGGACTGCCAGGAGTTCAAAGTCTGGCCCCAACTATGTAGTGAGTTCAAGACCCGTCAAGACTGCAAAGTGAGGGACAGGGATTTAGCTCAGTGGTGCCACCACCTGCCTTGCAAGTACAAAGTCCCAAGATTGATCCCTGGTACCAAAAAAAAAAAAAAAATTACAAAGTGAGACCCTATGTCAAACTCCCCCCAAAAAGGAAAACAAACAAAATATTGTGTCACTTACGAATCACACCTTTGATCTGTTAAAAAAAATTATAGTTGTGCAATAGAAGACTGACAATTTTCAACATCTTGTGAGCAAGGTGATAGCTTGCATACTTTACATAAAACACATTCATATCCACATTTTGTGACAATGTATGATTAGTAGAGAGAATGACAAATGGATCTTAGGAAAGAAAGACAGCCTTGAATAGATCCACCTGTAAACAGAATACTAAATTACAATGCCACTCATATTAAACATTTCTGGAAGAAATCATAGTATGTTTCATTTATATTCAGGAAGAAACAGGTATGTACTTGGAAATCTGGACTGTATACTCTTCTATTCTATGTACATAAATTACACATTGAAATGGGAAAGATAAACTTGAATGCCTTGAGATTTTATAGTGAAATAACATTTAGATAAGAAAACAATTTCCTCAGAAGAAATAAAGTAGCCATCAGAATTAGGAGAAATTGAAGTCTGTCAATACCATGGGAAACAAATAAGAATAAAGTATTTGCTGTGTATACAATTGAAAGATTTTGTATAGAGAGGAAATAGCAATGAACACAAATCTAAAATATAACTACAACCTATCTGACTAAAGGAGAACACTGAATATAAATTAAGGTCCAAATTTTGAGAAAATAAAAGGAAATTGAGGTGTGGATGAACACAATGAGACATGCAAGGATGGAGAACCAGCTCATACACTCCATACTCATCCCCTTTCCTTTGGTGTTTACCAAAATCAACAGACCAGTGACTTATTCCAATGTCCAGAGGCTATATTGTGTTAGTATTCTTGGAGATAGATGTGATTCTCATAAAAACTTGAAAAATTCTGAACCTCATTGTGGGAAATGGTAGAATTCAGCTATCTAGTTGTAAGAATAGATCACAAGAAGTTTGTTAACTAAGAGAATTAAGTAGTTTCTGGGAAAATCCACAAGTCTGTTTGTTAAAAGAATGCCAGAAAACTTTGAGACCTTGTAAAAGTCTCACAGGAGAAAAACAGGTTTTCCTAGTTTTCTTATTTACCATTTTCCGGGATCAGAGGACCGCGACCCAATGACTCTATGGGTGGTAAGAGAGATACGACTCACTATGCACATCTGTGATGTTTATGGTGGGCAGGTGGGCTTGATTTTTGGCTAAAGTCATCCTGCTCTCTTGATACTATCTGATAAGAAGAGGGCTGCAGTGTGCTCTTTGACGTATGGGATTGGTGAATGGAAACAGGGGACTTGTGAATTCTCCTGTAGCTTTTATGAGTCACTTAACGTCACTGGTTATCATCAGACGTGAAAATCAGAAAGACAATAGCCAGAATAACTAAGCTGCTTTCCTACATATATAAAAGCCTTGCTTCTTTCCTTTCTGATTGTCGAATAGTGCCAGAGGAATTAAACTGCTGTTCGTCCCCCAGCCTGTCTCCTTTTCTTTCTTTAAAAGTCAGTGCTTTCCAGGGTTCCAGGTCTCCCTCAAGAGAGACCTTTATTAAAAATAAAAATCAACACCTCATGATCAATGGAATTGATGAGAAAGTACTTTTTCTTTGATTCAGATATCATCATTTTCAAAGAACACTAAGACAAAAAAAAAAAAACCCAAAACTCACAAAATATTTCCGTGTGCAATTTCCACACTTATTGAAAATTCCAAGGAAGGAAACTAAAAGAACACTATTCATGGAAAATCACACATGGTAAACTCAGGAAAAGTTGCCAAAGGAGGAAAGTGGTCATCAGTAAAGCCAAAAAGTTTGAGTTAGGTAGGGTGTTTATCACCTGTATACTCTCATCCATTATCCAAGGCTCAATGATGAAATGTTCTGAATACACCTAGGATATTTATATTGTTATTATCATTAAATCTCATCAAAAGATTTTGGGAATAAAATGTTATAAAAATTTAAACAGCAAATTAACAATAACAAAGTTCATGTTCATTTCTACCTGTTTGTCTATTTTCACATGTGAAAAGAAGAAGCATAATTAACAAATGAGGCAGCAATAAGCAAGCACAGTTGCAAATATGAGTCCTAAAGATTCCCAGAAAGCAGTGGTTAAACTCTGTTAGCCATCAGGAGAACAGGTCTCACTATCAGAGAAAGAAGTAACAGGTAGCAGAGCTGATCAATGTGTAGACACCTGGGTTATGGAGCAAATCCTATGACTACCTGGACCAGAGTGGTTATGTGGACACTGATAAGGATAGATTAAATAGGAAGCTATGCAAAAAGACACACACATCTAGCAGTAATTCAATAAAATCTACTGAAAGTATATTAATTTACAATATTCAACTTGTAGCTCAAAGTAAGGATTACAGTGATCAATGATACAAAAGGCAATTTTCTAAAAAGAACTAACAGCTTTTAATAAATATTCTACTAAACAGTATCAAACTACATAAGGCAAAAACACGAATGTGAAGGGAAAAATCATTTATTTAAAATTAAATCTCAGGACTTAAAAACAACTCCATCAGTAATTGACAGCTGAAGAAGGCAGAAAAATCTGTAAGAATTAAAATCAACATATTCAAAGGGATTTATGGGATATTGAATAATGTTTTAGTTTATAATGGCATGGTGGGCAGTCTTCTCAGAACCACATGAACTATTTACCCTCCTAGATCATTTTCACAGCAACAATAAAGAACATAATGTCTTGAAAGGAATGGAACTCATGGAAAGGAAGGTCTTACAAAATATTGGAATAAAATTAGAAATAAATCACAGAAACATATTTAGAATACTCCTAAGAATTAAGAGATTAAATAACAATTTTTTAAATGATACACTTCAAATTAAAGGCTTGATTAAATATTAAGGATTTCATAACATATGAAAGTGAATTCAAATCTTATAATTATTTCAGAGACCCAAAAACGAGCATTTCAAAAGAAATTAAGAACAATGAATGCACATATTGGAAAAGAACAAGATATTAAATTCAGAAAATCAGATAAAGCAACAGAAACATCATTAAAAATTACTCTACAGATAATAGGACACATCAATGCTCAATGCAGGTTATAAATGATAATAGATAAATTATTAAAAGTATCAAAGGCATTATTGAAAAATTAATCTAATCCCTTACAATAAAATCTTGGACAAAATTCCTAAAATTATACCAACAGATAGAGACAAAACACAAGACAGAAGAAAAAACAATAGGAAGAGATTAAGATGGAACACACAAAATGGTCGTTACTCACATATAACATCAAAGTACATTTTCGAAAAATTAAAGTGCCAACAAGAAATAAATAAGATATTGCACCACAGAATATATCCCTAGCTGAAAATACAGAAATTTTCTATGTAAATATATACCAGGTATAAACAAGGGGATTGGAAACTGTAAACATGACACCATATGAAACCCACAGTGACATATTTTCATAAATGTTAAAACCACATGAGTTTCAGGGCCGGGGATTTGACTCAGTGGTTCTGGCGCCTGCCTTGCAAGTACAAGGTCCTGAGTTCGATCCCTGGTACCAAAAAAGAAAACCACACGAGTTTCAGTAAGTAAAATATAAAACCTTAAAATATATTAAATTGGAAAATATAAATAAATTTAACTACTCAACATATTGGCAAAACACAATAAAGCACATATTATAAAGGATTATATGAAAAATTCATATATAAACATTTGCACAAATTTTGAATTTTTTATCTTCTGCAGATGAGTATTTGTTCTTATACTATTAAAAATTCTAATTCATTGCCATTTGCAGAAAAAATCAACAGTAATATTTTTAATCACATGAAAGATAAAAAATAAAGACCAACTTGCAAT